ACTTCCAAAAGACAACCACCCAGCTAGTCTAAACCATTAGATCATTTAGTTTTTTTCCCCCTTTCATTACCCATAATGCTGTAAACCCCACTGGGCGCAGTGTGGGACCCCACTGCTGTAGGATGCACAAGCAATGAGCCGTTCATTTCTCTTATTTCATTTTCCTCTTCTTTCTCTCCCTTTCTTTTTTTTTTACTTGTTACCCCTCTCTGTGTGAAAAATGAGCGAGGACTGTTTGAGAGTTTAATTCATTTTGATTAAGTCAAGGAGAAAGAAAAAGAGGCTGTTTTGTTCATTTAATCTGCCTAGAGATGAAATGATGGAATTTAATATTTAGTTGCGTTGTTTTTTTTAATGTTAATGATTGTGGTGGGGTGGTGGTTTGCCAAAACTTGTTTGTTTTTTTTTTTTTTTTACATTTCACCCCCAAATTTAGTGAAGAGAAAACATATTTTACAATCTTTCCACATAAACATAACCAGTCTGTTCCAGTGCAAAACTCTGATGGGAATGTCATTTCACTTGTATTGTATCATATAGTTAGTGTTAGTCTTGGTTTCACATGACCACATAAAACCTGATATACGGTTCTGAATTGGTCTCAGTTCAATCAGAGGTTTTGGCATACAGAGGATTTTCTTTTTATCATTTATTTTTTCCTCATTAAAGCATGCTCTTTTTATACTTCTCAATTTTTCTTCAGTGGAAGCCACCAATTTGTCTTGTTTCAGCAGATGCCAAAGCAGATGCTGCATTCATTATGAAAAACAACATAATAACTCAAATTTGGGGGCTCTTACACTATAGAGTGAGTGTGCCCATACTCAGCTTTTTCTGTAGTTTTGTGAGGATGCAAAAATGGTTTGATTCTCTTAACATGATTTAAATCATTTTAATATCTCTAGTCTCTGTCTAAAGTGCCTTTCACACCAAAGAGGACGATAACTATAATGATTACAATAACTTTAAATAATCTGTCTCATGAGAATAGGGAAGTCCACATCACAGCTTTACCAATGATGACCGAGAAATGATGTTGTTTCTCCTATCATTGCCTAATATCTCTTTCAAAATAAATAAATAAAAAAATTCCAGCTGATGAATGATAAAAGCATTGACAACCAATCAGAATCCTCCTCACTTTAAAGAGCTCGAGCATTTAAAGCGGCAGACGACAAAACTGCAGTGTGTGCTTAGAATACATTTTTTTTTTTTCTCTTGGTGTGGATGAAAATATAGTTATTGTTATAGTTATCATTTTTGGTGTGAACAGTCCTTTACATGGTCCAATCCGGTCACCTCGTGTTTACAGTTAGGCCAGAATACTGAGGTTTTTATAAAACCCAAATTTCACTCTTGATGTGTACATGCAGTCTATTTGTGTTCTGTAGCATGTCCTTCAACATTCTATATTTTATTCTATACCCTAGGGATCTTAACTCAATTTTATAGAACTCTTTATGCCGAAAAGTTCTATATAAAAGTAAATTTCTTAAATGATTTCAGAATACTATCATGTTTAATGAGTTATTTAAATTTGTTCTAGTGATAAAGTATGTTTACGAGCTGCTTAATTCATAATATTTAATCAGGATTAAAAAAGAATTAAAACTAAATGGATTAAAATTATTTCCATCAAATTTTCCTAAGTTGAACCCTTGAAGGTTATAGAAGTTTTCTTGCAGGTGGCATTTGGTACTGGGCGAGCTTAAGGTGTCACAGAACCATTTTGGGACCGTTTGGGTCAGAACCATTGCCAGTAGTCAAAGAATACAGAAAAAATTACTTTTGAAGTAATGTCTACTAGGATCATAAATGATTTTGCTTCTGTTTTTGTGTGTTTTGCTGAAAGAAGACAATTCATTTGTGTGCCATGGTTCATTAATACCATCATAGTCTGCATTTTTCCATATCTGAAAAGGCCATGATGTCTGAATCTCAGTTTTTGCCATAGTGGAAAAGAAGCCCTTATTGTCTTATGTTTGGAGTCTGATGAGCTAATATTGGAGCTTATAATGGCAGGCTGACTCTTGAATCGTGGAAAACCCTTCTATTAGAGCTGCGCATTTCTCCATATGTCCATATGGAGACGGCATGAAGAGGAAATGGCTTGCATTCCTTTTGTCCAATTCAAAAATAAACTTGAGTGTGCACTTCCTGCAGAGGCGTTGAGAAGAGAGAAAAGAGGTGAAGAGGGAAAAGAACAGAAGCAGAGGAAATAAAGAGTGTAGTGTTGTTAAACTTACACTCAAGGATTACAAACTGTTACACTCAAGGATCTCTGCTGTGATTCGTTGAATCCTCTTGTGATAGAGTTGGCTTGTAAATCACACACCATGCTTCCTTCTTTTGTAAGATTAAAGCTCTTTGTGTTGCCACACATACATCCCTTTAGTTCTTCACTTCCTGTCAGCAAGAGATATGATTGTTTGACCAGTGTGTGAGGTTGCCATTTGTCATATGGGTGCGTCTTAATCAGCTCCCTAGGTTGTGAATCAGTACGTGTACTCAACTTCCCCTGTACGGTCCCTGACTCACAACACATTGGGACTCTGATGGTGAGACATGGTGGCTGTGATATATATGTAACCAACCTACATCTCGTTGCTTTCCGATGAAAACCGATATGTCCATTTTGCAGATTTTGAGATTTTTCGACAGATAGAATGTCCAGGTTCATTTCCATATACAGCATGCTTCACATTATCTAAAAGATGAGCAGCGAGCGTCTATTCATCAAGCCAACGTGCAAACATCGCAAATAAAAGTGAAAGTAAGTCACAGATGCTTAATCATCTTCTCAATCACACAATCTTCAAGTAAAGAAACGAAATGATCTTACCAGGGGCTGTTGCCACTCTCTCTTATTGATGTCTATTGATGAAATTAGCTGATGATCAATAAAATGCAGCTCATATCCGGCAAAATTACGGTAGGATTGTGTAAATAAAGTGTATTGATTCATTGTCTCTTAGTTTGCAAGAGACATTTAATAAACTGAGCATATTTGATAAACTGAGCGTTGCCTATTCATCTGTCAATATGAAACGCGATTTGGTCATTCTAATTAATGATCGGAAGAACGCGTATCGACCACCGTTACTGTACAATATGCACGTATGTCCATTTAAACTCGATTTTGGGTCAAATGTGGATTATATCATGACACTGGCAAGAATATGGTTACATTTAAAGATGTTGTACCAAGCATGACAACGCTACGTTCAGCTGCTTTTGAACTTGCGTGTTTTTTTCACTTCCTGAAAAGTAACCGTTTTGGACATACGTGAGTTTCATCGGGCAGCGACGTTGCCATGATTTTTGGAATGGCTATCACGAGTCGCATAACATCGGTTAATAGAAACGGCATCATTTCACATTATTTTTGTGAAAATATTACAAAAGTTTTTTTTTTAATTGAATACTACTATTTATGAACAACAGCAGATCATTTTCTGACATTCATTTTACATGATTGAGACAGCCCTTAAAATGGCTGACTCCCTGATCAGTGCCCTGACTACTGAACAAGGGAGCTGATTGAGACGCACCCTTCGTGATGTTTTTGAAACATCCCTGCTTCCTTTTTACCTTATGAATAGATCACTTGTGTCCTGGCATGAGATTTGTATATTGAATATCAATGTTGATGTTCAAGCAAGACTTATGGTGAATGTATACCATTGATGACAGTCATTATAGTTGCTATATAAGTGATGCTTATAAATCAGTTGATTTGCTGGATAAGCCTACTAACCATATGTGCTTTTTGTTCAATTGCAGTGCCCTCTCTGTGTGTAGTACGAGAATGCATGTTTTGTGAATAGCCCCTTTGTTTCTTCTCAAGCTTTAAAGGAGTAGTTCACTTTTGAAAAAACTTTTGTTGATAATTTACTCACCCCCATGTCATCCAAAATGTCCATGTCTTTCTTTCTTCAGTCGAAAAGAAATTAAGGTTTTTGATGAAAACATTCAAGGATTTTTCTCCATATAATGGACTTCACTGGGAACCAAACGGTCCAAGTGTCCAAAAGACAGTTTCAGTGCAAACTGCAAACTGTTCAAATGGCTTTAAACGACACCGGACGATGAATAAGGGTCTTATTAAGCGAAATGATCGCTCAGTTAAGGAAAACAAACAAAGTTTACGTTTTATAAGCTCAAATGCTCGCCTTGCTCTGTTCTGTTATATGCATTCGTGACTCTCCTATTCAAACTCGTTCATGAAAATTAATAAATCTTTTTTTGAGTGAATTCGTTCATTTTGCTTGTTGAATGAACCAAATGACTTGAAAAAAGGTTCGTTCATTTTGATAAACGAGTTTGAACAGGAGAGTCACGAACGCATATCACAGAACAGAGCAAGGAGTGAGCGATCGTTTCGCTTGATAAGACCCTTATTCATCGTCTGGTTTCGTTTAAAGCCCTTTGAACAGTTTGCACTGAAACTGTCTTTTGGACCTTGAACCATTTGGTTACCAGTAAAGTCCATTATATGGAGAAAAATCCTGGAATGTTTTCATCAAAACCCAAATATAATCATCAAAACAAAAATAATAAGAACAATAATAAAATATAAAACGGATTTAAATAAAAACAACATATATTGCTTCTAATTAGTTAACAGCTGTGTGAAAAAACATTTTTTTATTATTATTTTTTTAGTTCTTTAGTTTATATAAATGCATTTTGCACAGCCTTAATTATGAGTGTATGTTTTACGAGGTTGCTGAATAAGTCCAGGCTGTTTTGTGTCAGTCATATGGTTTTCTGCAGTACTCTGTAATCCAGGGTTTTCTTCTTTTGTGGATGTGGCTCTGGTGCCCGACGGTCTGTCCCCGTCCTTTTGTTTCAGCCAACCATAGCTGTGCACTTTTTCTTTTATGACCGTATTGTGTGGCGGGGAAGCCATGTGATATTCTTTTTACTGTTTCAGCTGCTTGGGGGCCAAGAAGTTCGAGCATGATCGTGTAAGTGTGTGACTTATTTGTGTTTTTCAGGCGCTGTGCTGGACAGTAGGAGCTGTTGAAGTTTTGACTGTGGGTTTGCGCTCCCTCAGTCTCACCCACGCTCTGTCTCCAAGAAGCTGCAGGGTTTTCGCTGAGTTGGCAAAAGTGCGTCGCAGAAATAAACTGGCGGCCTTCAAGAGCTACAACACGCACATCTTGTCCTCATCGGACCTCCAAGTAAGCCGTGAGGATAAAATACTACAGTGTTGAATAAGAAAAACAGCAAAATGATGGACTTTCCAAAACCTGACATGCTGTAGATATATTTTATGTAAATGATTGTTTGGGTTTTGGCTCCCAGCCCTTCATATAAGGGATTTATTGCAGTTTGTGTGTTCCAAGAAAAATTAGGCTATATGTCGCATATAAGGGCTCCATACATCTGTAAATTTATTTCAAAATGACTGTACAATGGCTTTCCATGTGTAAGTGATGTCTGTGGAACAGCCTCCTAATAAACCGTGAATCAAAAATGAGAGAAGAGGGAACGATGAAAACCGTTCTCGACCAAAAAAGCAAGGTAGAGGTTGTTCTTTCAACACACACGGAGACATCATCACATCTGCAGGGCTTTGGTTTCTCTGACTGACATCAGGTTTATTTTCTTTAATACGCTCATACACATTCTTGCATGTCCACTCCCACAGATTTATGTCCTTTTAATGCAGTTGCCGCTATGTGAGGGAGGCAGGGTGAAAGCTTTATGTCTGTCTGCTGTGATCCGTGGTGTAAACAGTCTCACTGTACTCTGGAATCTCGCCACTCCTACAGGCTTTAGAAAAAGGGGCATTCAGGGTGAAAGGAAGGGGCAACATTTCGATGTGTGTTAAGGAGAACAGTTCGAGCTGTTTGATTGATTTATGTTTTAAGGTGGGGCTGTTTAATTGGTGCTTCCAGATTGGTAGCTGGTTTTATTGTGGAATTGTTTAACTGGTTTGAGGTTTTGAGTGGTTGTAGGGCTGTTTGATTTATTTTTTTTATTCAAGAAGAGCTGCTGTATGATACTTGAATTCATCCTAATGGGAGTTTCTCATCTGGTGCAGAACCTCTACAGGCGTACACTACTGCTCAAAAGATTGGGGTATTTATACAATATATAAATACTAAATGCTGTTCGTTTGACCTTTCAAGTTCTTTAAAGAATCTTGAGCAAATGCATCACAGTTTCCACAAACATTGTAAATGCAGCCGTGTTTTTTTTTTTGTTGTATTTATTTTAAAAATACTTACTTTTATTTTGACATGAGTAAAACCGGAAGGAAGGTCTGTGGCACAGTGAGCTACAGACGAAGAAAACGCAGTGTGCGGCAGACGAGGTTAACGCGCACATGTGTCGGTGATGGCATCTTCTAGTTTTTCTTTATTGTTGCTTAATTTTTCATGGTGTTTGCTGTAAATGTGTACAAGTTGAAGAATCATATTTTGACTATGAAGATTGCTTCTGGGGAATGACTCTGCCGTTGATTGAGAAGCAGGCTAAAGTGGTCAGTATTTTTCTGTATTCTTTAGCTTCAGTGCAAGCCATGTGATCCATGCAATTGATTGCAATGTTTTATGTTGTCTTTTGTTTGTTTATCTGAACTTTTAGTTCTACGGTGTTAATAAACATCTGTTAAGGAAACCGGAGTCTCGCATTCAATCAATGGGCGGCACAGTAGAACACTGCTGTTTCGGGAAAGGCTCCGAGCGGATGAAGACGGACTAGCTGCAGGCCACGTGCGGTAATGGAGAGGCCACGTGAACTGTTCGTGTGACTTCAAAGGGCAAGCAGACAAGGCTACACAAGCGAGCACGTAGACGAGAACTGTCTCGATAGTAGCGCAAGTACTGCCATAATTGCTCACGGACATTTAATGTGGGTTTTTTTTTCTTAAAGTGGCATTGGACATTCCTTTTCCTGCAGTTGGTTATCTAATAAGAATCCAAGAAACTAAGTAGATAAGTAAATGTAACCTTCCCCCAGTTGAATCTAAGATGGTTTAAGTTAATATCAAAGTATTTTGCATACAAGTGAGTTTTCATATGTAGACTTTGCCAAGAGGTATTTATTTTTACACTGTTAATTGCCTCTTTATTACTCGGTCATTGAAGTGTGTTATTATGAAACTGTAGTGTTTATTGTGCAGTTTTCAGAGGTAAAGTTAAGGTAATCAAAGAGATTTATATTTTATTTTTCAACATTTCATGCTATTTTATAGTTGCACACATTAGAGTTTAGAATACATTTATTCAAATTTTGACACATTTAAAGCTGTACATTCAATATGTCACGCTCAAAAGAATACACTTTTCCTCCAACTGAAAAGGTCAGTCATGGAGACCTTCAAGAGGACAGTGAAGCAGAGCAAACGACCCTATCACAGCAAGCTGACGCTGTTAAGCAAGTTGAAGACACAGTGCAGGACATACAATCTCAGGTTGGTGAAGATGACACACAACTGCCTCCTGTAATTAGGAAATCTGGACGTACACAAAGGCTAACTGAAAAGGGAAAGGCTCTGTTAGATGAAAAAACGAAGGATCTAAATGCGAGTTTTGTAAAGATGTACAGAAGGTGGAAGTATCACATCAATGGCTTAAAACGGTCCATTAAGAATAATGATGCTGATGATCTGATTGATGAGATTATAAATGCAATCAATACCATCCAAGTTGACATGGACAATACTTACCTCAAAATAAGAGCCATTTCAAGTCCTGAACCTGACATTCGAAGAATGAATGATACATGCCAGGCATTCACTAGGATTGCAAATACAAATGTTCAACATTTCCGCAGTGGTGATGATTCAGAATTCATATCTTGGCCTGATGCTAAGTCAGTGTTTGACAGCACCGTATCTAGTGTTTCCTCAGTTCAAACCGCTAAGTCAAAGGCTTCTTCCAAAGTATCCAGACACTCTTCCATCCTCTCCCTTAATGCAAAACAAGCGGCAGCTGAAGTTGTAGCTACGCAAGAGGTGATAAAGATAACAAATGCACAACGTCAGCAGAAAGAAGAAATTCAAAGACTTGAGGTGGAAGACCAAATCTTGAAGGCTGAAAGAGAAGCTAAAGAAAGGGAAATTGAAGCAGAAAGTGCTAAAAAAAGAGCTCAGTTTATAGCAGAAAGTGCTGATAGAAAAATAAAGCTGGAAGGGAAAAGAAGAGAAGTAGAGCGGCTAGAAGAACTTAAAGGGCATGTTGCAGCTCAAGCAAGACTGCAGGTTTATTCAGAATCTGTCGATCCACCACTTGCACTTAACCCTTTAATGGATCCATTTTTCCCCTCCTATCAAGCACCAGTCTCCCAAGCTCTTCCTGTGCAACAAGTCAAGTCCAGTCAAGTCCATCACCCACATGAGGTCACAGCCGCTAAAAACCCAATCCCATATCCCTCCATGTACACCTCATGTTCTGCTCCACAGCCAGACACATTTTCTCAAGTCCCTGTAAGTCAAGTCATCACTCCAACTGCACTTCCACTTATGCAACAAGCACCAACCACTCAGGCTCTGTTTACTTCTCATGAAACTTCCAATGATCTTGTGAGAACTCTAGCTGAAGCAATCACAGCTAATCGATTTCCTATTCCAGAACCTGAAGTTTTCAAAGGAGATCCTCTCAAGTACAACGATTGGAAGCTTTCCTTTGCTACTCTGATTGATCGCAAGAACCTGCTAACTCAAGAAAAGCTCTTCTTTCTACGCAGGTATGTCGGCGGCTCAGCCAAGAGAGCTATTGAAGGCCATTTCCTTGTAGGAACAGAAGCAGCTTATCGTGCTGCCTGGAATGTACTTGAAGAAAGATTTGGTAATCCATTCATAGTTGCCAAGTCATATCGGGACAAGATACATGCATGGCATAAAATCGCCCCCAAAGACAGTGAAAATCTTCGTGAGTTTGTTGATTTCTTGATCAGTGTTGAAGCAGCTATGCCATATGTTCAAGGTCTACAAACTCTCAACGACTGTGTGGAAAACCAAAGGATTACTGTCAAGCTCCCGGATTGGCTGAGCTCACGCTGGAATAGAGAAGCCACGATTTATCAAGATGGACACCAAATGTTCCCTGACTTCAAATACTTCGTAAGATTTCTCAACATGGAGGCTCGAATTGCATGTAACCCCATCACATCATTATATGCTGTCAAGCCTACTGAACAAGAAAGATCAAAGCCAACCGAACGAGAACAGTTTAAGTATCAACGAAATCAAAACTTGAGTGCTAAGACTTTTACCATTAATACAAGTGAGAAGACAAGCAGCACGTGCATGTTTTGCAAAAGGAAAGGCCATACTCTCCATAGGTGTCTCAAGATTCGGGAAAAACCAGTTGAAGAAAGAGTTAAGTTTGTACAATTGGAGAAATTATGTTTTGGCTGCCTTGGGATTGGCCATAACTCCAGAGCTTGTACATCCAGGAGTGTATGTGACCTATGTGGAAAACGTCACCCCACTTGCTTGCATCAAGATCGTGAGAAGAAAGACCAAGAGCAAGGAAACAAGTACCAACAGTCTGAACCGATTGAAATACAACAAGCTACTTCTAATCGAGTTGTGCAAGAGAAGAGCACCACCTATACTTCATCTATCGTTCCAGTCTATGTCTCCACGACAATGGAACCAGACAAGGAAGTTTTAGTGTATGCTTTACTTGATAGTCAGAGCGACACCACGTTCATTCTGAAGGAGGCAGCTGTAACATTGGGTGCCAAGAGAGAGCCAGTAAAACTCAAAGTGTCCACGATAACATCAAAAACAAAGGTGGTGAATAGCCAAAAGGTGCAAGGACTACAGGTAAGAGGCATCAGCTCTGACACTAAAATCAAACTCCCAACAACTTATACCAGAGATTACATACCAGCAAACAGATCCCATATACCCACAAGTACAACTGCAAGATCCTGGCCTCACTTAGAGCATTTGGCGGATGAGATGTCTCCTGAGCTTGACTGTGAAGTGGGATTGTTAATCGGCTATAACTGTCCACAAGCCTTACTTCCCAGAGAGGTCATCATGGGCAATGAAACCCAGCCATATGCACAAAGGTCTGTGTTGGGTTGGAGCATTATTGGCTACAGCAGACCTGTAATTGACTATGCTGATGAAGATGAAATTGGTGTGAGTCACCGGATCATCATAAAGAAAGTTCAGCCAGCCACTAAGCCCTCTTCTGAGCTCAAGTCTGAGGTTCATTTTGTTTATAGGACTCAAGTGAAGGAAATGATCACTCCAGCAGATATACTCAAGGTCTTTGAGTCAGATTTTACTGAGAAGTTCAGTGAAGAATCTCTAATCTCACAAGAAGATATTAAGTTCTTGGTGAAGCTAAAGGAGAGAATCAAGCAGAAGGCAAATGGGCATTACGAAATGCCATTGCCTTTCAAGGAAGAGAGGCCAAGTCTGCCAAACAACAAGGTGTGTGCAGAACATAGACTCAAATGTCTGGGGAAGCGTCTTAAGAAAGACAGTCAATATCACAAGGATTATGTGGCCTTTATGGAGGACGTAATAGCAAGAGGTGACGCTGAAAAGGTTCCAGAGTCAGAGGTGATCAATCAGAACACGTGGTATATCCCTCACCATGGGGTTTACCACCCCAAAAGCCAGGAAAGATTCGTGTGGTATTTGATTGTTCAGCTAAGTTTCAGAATACATCATTGAATGAGCATCTACTCACCGGCCCAGACCTTACAAATACCCTTGTAGGGGTCTTGTGTCGTTTCCGCAAAGGACAAGTAGCCATCATGTGTGATGTAGAGCGGATGTTCCATCAATTTCATGTTGCACCAATGGATCAAGACTATCTCAGGTTTTTGTGGTGGGAAAGAGGCAATATGGAAGCTCCACCGTCAGTGTTCCGCATGAAAGTTCACTTGTTCGGCGCTGCATCGTCACCTGGATGCGCAAACTTTGGGCTCAAACACCTTGCTGCAGAAGGAGAAGGCAAGTTCAGTGAAGCTACTGTAAGGTTTATACAACGCAACTTTTATGTTGACGATGGACTAACAAGTTTGGACAGTGAAGAAGAAGCTATCAAGCTTGTTAGAGAAGCAAGAGACCTCTGCAGCACCGGTAAACTCCGCTTACACAAGTTCATCAGCAATAACAAGAAGGTTCTTGCCACAATTCCAAAGCAAGAACTTGCTGAAGTTGTAGCGGACCTGGACATGGCCTTGGGTGAGCACAAGATGGAACGGGCTCTCGGGGTCCAATGGTGCATTAGCTCGGATAAGTTCCAGTTCAAAGTGAAGGTAAAAGAGCATCCTTTTACCAGAAGAGGAGTACTGTCAACAGTGGCCTCAATTTTTGATCCACTTGGATTTGTGGCACCTATTCTTTTGAAGGGTAAACAGATACTACAAAGGATGTGCCAGGAAAAGGTAGGATGGGATGACCCACTTCCTGACGACCTTAGGCCACATTGGGAAGCATGGCTCCAAGACCTTCATAGTCTGTCCTCGGTAGAGATACCACGGCATTACATACCATTGGCAGCCAAGGATGTTCGTCAGTGTGAACTTCACCATTTCTCCGATGCCAGTGTCTCTGGCTATGGAATGTGTTCTTACCTTAGAGTTGTTTCGAAGTCTGAAGAAGTCCATTGCGCTCTTGTTATGGGCAAGGCAAGGGTTGCACCAACTAAGATAACAACTATCCCAAGGCTGGAACTCTCAGCTGCGGTCGTGGCCACAAGGACAAGTGATCTGCTAAGGAGAGAAATGGAGATTAAAGATCTGCAAGAATACTTTTGGACTGATTCAAAGGTCGTTCTTGGTTATATTAACAATGATGAAAGGCGATTTCATGTATTTGTAGCCAATCGGATTCAGCAGATTAAGTCGAGCACGGATCCAAGTCAATGGCAATATGTTGCATCTGACAGTAACCCGGCTGACCATGCCTCGCGCGGGCTCAACGCAAAGGAGCTTGTAGAGTCTAACTGGTTCACTGGACCTAGTTTCTTGTGGCAAAAGGACCTCCATAAAGAAGAGATTAAGGTGGAAGAACTCAATGAGGATGACCCAGAAATCAGAAGAGCACATGTTCACACAACCATAGCAAATAAGGAAAGGTCCCTATCAGACCGACTTCAGAAGTTTTCAGACTGGAAGAGGGTAATAAGAGCCATAGCAAGACTTAAGCGTCTTGCAAAGGAGGTGAAAGGTCTTAAAATAAGATCCAATGAAGTTACGGCACTTGATGAGAGAATGGATGCTGAAAAATTCATATTCCGTGCAGTTCAAGAAGAAGCGTTCAAGGATGAAATCAAGGCTCTTAAACAAAAGGGTGATGTACAAAGGAGCAAGTCAACCGAACTGCATAAGTTGAACCCCTTTATGGACAGCCAAGATATCCTGAGGGTGGGAGGTAGATTGACACAAGCAACGCTTCACCCTCATGTCAAACACCCAGCTATCCTTCCCAAAGGACACCATGTGTCTCGGTTGTTGATAAAACACTATCATGAGAAGGTGAAGCATCAGGGTCGTGGAATGACCATCAATGAACTACGCTCCAGTGGGATTTGGATCCTTGGATGTAGTAGTGAAGTGTCATCACTCATTTTCAAGTGCATCAAATGCAGAAAGCTCAGAAGGTGTAGTCAAGAACAAAAAATGGCCGACCTTCCACCAGAGAGGATGGAAGCTACTCCTCCATTTACTTATAGTGGTATGGATTGCTTCGGACCATTTTATGTTAAAGATGGAAGAAAAGACCTGAAGAGATATGGGCTTCTATTCACCTGCATGTGTTCACGTGCCATCCACATTGAGGTGCTGGATGACCTTTCCACTGATGCCTTCCTAAATGCGTTGCGCTGTTTTATTGCCATAAGAGGCAATGTAAGCCAGCTTCAAAGTGATCAAGGCACAAACTTCGTGGGAGCACGCAATGAATTCCAAGAATTAATGAAAGGGATGGAGCGAGAACATGTGAAAGAGCTAGGATGCAACTTTGTCATGAACCCACCTGCTTCCAGTCACATGGGCGGCGTCTGGGAGAGGCAGATTCGGACCGTGAGAAGTGTCCTCACATCTATCCTAGACCAGTCTGCTGGAAGATTAGACAGCTCTTCATTAAGAACATTCCTGTACGAAGTGATGGCTATAGTGAATAGTCGACCATTGACCACAGAACATCTCAATGATCCTTCAGGACCTGAACCCCTAACACCAAACCACATATTGACGATGAAATCGTCAATAATCGCTCCACCACCTGGTGAGTTTGTAAGGGAAGATCTCTATCTTCAGAAAAGATGGAAGAGAGTACAGTTCTTGTGCAATGAATTTTGGACCAGGTGGAGAAAGGAGTATTTGCTGAATCTGCAGCAGAGGAGCAAATGGAACAAGGAAAGGAGAAATGCTAAAGTGAATGACATTGTCCTGTTGCAAGATGATGGCTCACCAAGAACTCAGTGGAAGCTTGCGAAGGTAGTTGAAGTCTTCCAAGGAGCTGACGGAAGAGTCCGAAAACTCAAGCTGTTACTTAGTGACACAACACTAGACAGTAAAGGCACACGCTCAAATAAGCCACTTTACTTAGAAAGGTCAATACACAAAACAGTATTATTGCTTGAGGCTGAGTAAGTAGGTTAGTTCTTCAATATCGTTTTGTTTATAATTGAAGGTGTATGTGTATTTACATCAATGTTTTACAAGATTCTGTTGACAATGTTGTAATGTGAATCACAAGGTGTGATGGTGGGAGTGTAAATGCAGCCGTGTTTTTTTTTTGTTGTATTTATTTTAAAAATACTTACTTTTATTTTGACATGAGTAAAACCGGAAGGAAGGTCTGTGGCACAGTGAGCTACAGACGAAGAAAACGCAGTGTGCGGCAGACGAGGTTAACGCGCACATGTGTCGGTGATGGCATCTTCTAGTTTTTCTTTATTGTTGCTTAATTTTTCATGGTGTTTGCTGTAAATGTGTACAAGTTGAAGAATCATATTTTGACTATGAAGATTGCTTCTGGGGAATGACTCTGCCGTTGATTGAGAAGCAGGCTAAAGTGGTCAGTATTTTTCTGTATTCTTTAGCTTCAGTGCAAGCCATGTGATCCATGCAATTGATTGCAATGTTTTATGTTGTCTTTTGTTTGTTTATCTGAACTTTTAGTTCTACGGTGTTAATAAACATCTGTTAAGGAAACCGGAGTCTCGCATTCAATCAATGGGCGGCACAAACATATTAAGCAGCACAACTGTTTTCAGCACCAAATCAGTATGATTTCTGATGGATTATGCAACACTGAAGACTAATAATGCTGAAAATTCAACTTTGCATCACAGGAATCATATACATTTTTATTTTGCACCATTAAATGCATTAAATGCAGCATTGGTGAGCAGAAGACACTTCAAAAACATCAACCTCAGACTTTTGAACTGTAGTGCGTGTGATTCGAATTCTGGTGACCATTTCATATTACACTACCTTTACAATTACTTAACAATACTGAAATATTTATTTAAATATTACTAGAAGATTACAGTGCTTCTTTTGAAAGCCTGTTCATGGAATAAAAAGCTTTTTGGCAATAGAATGGTGTAGTTTTGGCATCTTACCAGCAGAGGCAAACATGTTAACCAGCCAAACCTCGACCCATTGGTTTTAGTAATTTATATTGGTTTTAGTTGTTTGATTGGTAGCTGGCTTTAGGATGGGGAAGTTTGACTTAATTGTTAGGATTTAAGCCCAAAGTATACTTCAGTTTAGTTTAGTTATGTCCCCAAACTATGGGGGGCGATGACAATACCCCTGAGCAGGTTTGGCGATGGCCAATATAAAGCCGATAGATATGATATCAGACAAGATAACCCTGGTTTTTCATATACCGTTTACTTTTTTGTTTAACAGCTCTGTCTAATAACTTATTAGACAGAACAGGCAGTAAATTTATGAAGACAGAAAATGGGAGCTCGGACATTCAGGCTCTGGAATTCTCAGTGCTTTCAAAATAAAAGTCCTACACACTATTAAAAAAAATTAGACGTCCTGCCTCCCGACATGATAACAAAAAAATGTAAAATATCAACCGATATATATCAACTTTGGCTATATATGTATCGTTAGACGGCAAGTTTAGAACATTTAGAAATGTACTAGTCGTGATGTCTTCCTCTTGCTGTCTTTCTTTCATCTCTCTGTGTTGCTGTCAGGGTTTTGAATAAACTCTGTGGTGATTAACAGGAAAGTGAATATCTGCGTGTTAATTTGCCAGAGATTGAATGGGTTGTCCAGTCATTGTTTTTTACAATGAAACATTGTGCATAGGCATGTCTGACAAACATCCTTTTGTCTGCAGTGTAGAAAACATCTGTGTTCAGTGCGAAATCAGTGTTTGGGTGTGTGTGTTTGGGGGGGGGTCTGGGGGTTGGGGTCGGTCACAGTCCCAGACGGTCTCTGAGTTCAGGTCTGTGGCAGGTGACCCGTATAGAAAGCCTTCAGGCTGATATTAGAGACAAACTCTCACTCAAAGCCTGACAGCACTCTAAATGCCTCTTGTAGACATGCACACGAATGCATTCATACACACTCTTTCCTTTGGGGGTTTATTGGAACAATGCAACCTGCGACTCGGTGCTGCATTCCTAAAGGTTTAGGGTCAAAGGTTTAAACTGGTGTTTACCTTTTTGTGCCTCAAATTAAAACAAG